GGGAAAGAGCTGTGGGGTGGCAGGCACTATAATTGAGACTGTCCTGGCCACGATCTCAACTACATTTGTCATTCAAATCTTATTTCAGCTATCTTCTTTTGCCGTGTCATAACCATAGTGAGGTCAGAGGTGGTTTCATATTCTCTTTACTCTGATTCTGCCCGCTTCGTGCCCTCTTCGCCTCTTTCCATACCCATCTCAGAAATCAGAGTACAGCGCAGAGGCCTTGCTGACATCTAATGAGCAGGAACTAATGAATCAAAAACACCCACAGCCACCTGCTCCCTGGGTCTTTAGGGAGAATACGGAGCTAGAGCTGAATATGTGGACATTCTCTTTCCTGTTAATTTCCCGAGCTCCTCTGTGGGTTGTGCTCGCTGCTCCATTGGGGTGACACAGACATGACAGATGGCACTCTCCTGCCCAAGGAGCTTGTTCTGCAGCCCAGTAAGGGCTATATTTTTTGCTATAAAACTCATAAAAACCTTATAAATCACTCGTCTGCATTTGGGCCATGAAGATTGTGACACAAGAGAGATAAATGTTATTCCATAGATGTAAACAGTAGAAATGCGTGCATGGTAAAACTGTAGGCTCATGTAAATCCGTGAATCCTAAATATCATTTCACTTGGAGATTTTGACATAAGTATACAACACTAATAAACAGAGCTTCTACCTTTCTATAAAATGAAACTTTTTATCTGATGGATGAATATATGTTTATTTGAAGACTTAAATTTTTTATATCAGAATGTTTCAATCATTTCAAATTTAAACTGTCATGATAACCTAAAAAAATTATTATAGCGATAAAAAGACTAAAAGGCATGTATTTATCCATTTATCAATACTTGAGAGGTTAAAAGAAAGCTACAAAGATGAATATGAGATATGCAAGAAAAAATATCAGCATTGAAAAGGTATCTACTATAAGTTGGAAAGAAAATTATAAATAGGTATAGAAAACATCAAGTATGATGCTTATATTACTAGGAATGCATCAGTCTTCAGTATACTAGTTATGTGGAAATCTCATATCTTTGAAGAGTAGAGAAACAATTGCAACCTTTTATTTTTCTCCTATATCATTTTTTAAAAGTTTTTTCCTGTTAACAAATGATACATATTCATAGTACATGTAAAACATTAAAAGACCGTCTACAATCACCTTTAGTCCAGGAATATACTTAGATCATAATTGAAACCTTTTTTAACTTAATAATATATCATGAAGATCATTTGGTGACAGGATCTTTTATAATATTTTAAAGCCCCATGATAGAATCAAAGATGCTGTCAAACTGGAATAGACCAGGGATTGTCTAGTTTGACCTTTACAGCAATGCTTTAATAATCTCCTTCAATGACTGTGAGCCCTTTCTTGACTACTTTAGTCCTTGGGAAATCATCAATTTGCCAGGAAATCTTTGCAATTGACTGCATGCTCTTATTATGAGAAGTCTGACTCTATTTGGAATTTAGTTCACCTCCTTTACCTTCTCCCCAGAAGAGCACTGGGCTTGGAATGCTTTTCAAGTTTTTCCCATTTTTTAGTGGCATAACCCTAACTAAATTATGTTACTTTCCTATACTTTCCTATACAGACTTTTTCTGCAAAACCAGGCTAATACTCTTATCCTATATTCTTCATAGGGCTCTTAAAAGATTCAAGTAAGAAAGTATTTGTGAAAATGACAATACATTTGAAGCACATATGGATGCTAAGTATATTTCCTCTTTCACGTATGTTATTTGCAAATTGTTACCATGTTCACCCCAAGTGCTTTCTCCAAGACAAACTGCCCAATTCTTTCTATCATCTCTTAAAAATTATAATATCCACAATCATTTGTCTTATTGACCCCTCTGGATACATGCCAATTTGTGAATGTCTCTTGTAAAAAGTGCCACACTGAACGAAACAGAATAATCCTAATGTGGCTGAATGAATGGGAAATAAAATAGGATTGTTCTGCCATTAATCTGCTTGGCCGTCTACTGTAGTGAGTTCCTAGGCGCGGAATTTTTCTTACTAACACCACCTATGTCATTTATAAAGAGCAAATTGAGTTGCAGCATTTGAGAAATGTATTTGAAAACTATCTTTTACAAGTAGCAAATTGATCAAGAGAATACAATATAGAAAAATAAATACTGATAATTTATTTTTTCTTAATCACATGACTGGGTAGAAGAGGTGTCTTCTTAACCACACAGTTGTGTTCCTCATTAATGAAAAGAAAGAAGGCTTGAATGATCACCTAAAATAAAGTTTAAGATTTGTCTGTGACTTTGTTATCCATGATTTTATTTACACTATCTTTTCAGGGACACGAAGGGTGATAGTGATCCCCCCAATAACAAGCAGAAAATGTAACAACTTGCTTGGTTTTATCAGTCACTTCTTTCTAGAAAGACAAGTACAAATTATTGGCAACTTATCAGAACATATCATGACCCGTCCTGGAATAATGTGTAAAATAACTATTTACCTAGTTGATAAAATGATTTCTCGAATTGTTAGCTCTTCTTTGCAAAGGCACATGGGAATCCAAACCTGCAGTATTAACACTTCACTTTCCTTTGACTTGAATAATTTGTATAGAACAGTAATCTCAAAAGATAAGAAGGAAAGCAGTCATCCAATTTCCCAGCTCTGTTTGCTGTCCACCTTCATGACCTAAGGCAAATCACTTTATCACTCCCTGCCTCTGTTTCTCCACCTGGAAAATCTGGAAAGTCTTACCTATAGCTCCTTTCTTTCTACGAACGTTGAGGCCTTTAGAGGAAATACACTTCACACATTCAAAGATTTATGACAGTGTTATTTTTTTTTAACTAAGGAAAAGGAATGGATTGGAGTTGTAAAAGTAATAAGGAGATGCTATTTCAAGTTGGACTGTGGTGGACAGAAACCAATGTGGCCAAATGTGGTTTTGTTTTGTATTTCTTTTGTCAATTTCAGCTGGTTTCAGCTGAAAACAAAGTTTCTTGGAACATGTCCAAGCAAGAAAAACAAGCAGGTAGTTTGTCAGTGATAATAAATTTCAAAACTAATTTTTGTTTCCTGTGACTTTGCAACAAAATATGTTACAAGCTGGGCTGAAACCAAAATATCAGACACCAAAACAGTATACAAAAGTCATAACATTGGGGGGAAAAATCCAAGTCAAAAATGAAAATAGAGCTCAGTATTACAGAAGTAATGCTTCTTTCAAAAATAGCTGTCATTAAAATTTTCATAGGCACAAGTGAAAATGATTTTGGGGGGGATGTAAGTTAAAGGAGGGTCTGCTTTAGAAAACACAGTGAAATTTTATTTTATTCTTAATTTTCCAAGCCAAGTTTGTCAGATCTCAGAAATTTTTTCTTGGGCTCCTTCCCTGCGGAAGGGTCCAAGTTTTATCACTATTGACATACACAGATTGAAAATTTTAATCCAGGAAACTTTATCACCAGAGTCTCACCAGCTTTCTTTGGCCAGTGATTCACACTAACAGTGTCTGTCTTGAGGCCATCAGGGGACAAAAGACCAAAAAATAATGAGAGGAAGCATGCAGGCGTCACCGGAGCCTTCGGGTACAACGCACGGAGCCCACGTCGCACAAGAACTGTTCCACGTTCACTGGATGCTGTAAGAGTCTGATTTACATTAGAAACCTCTGCATTCAATAGGCAAAAATAGGGATAATGACCAACGCGCTATTTGGAACAGAAAACAAACTCAAGCAATGAGTGTTTTCCACTGAATTCATTCAAGGTTTTATTAGTTGAGCTCTCACTTAGGTTATTGGGCTCAGCTTGCCTTTAATTTCGCTGACCTCAATTATTCAAAACAAAAGGAGTCTGCTGTGTGTGCGTGTATGTGTGTGTGCACACACACGCAGACGCATCACACACATAGGCTTTGCACATTCTTCACATTGCAAACCCATCAACAAAAAGGAGGAAGAAGATCTGAGAGGGATGAGTGGGTTTTGTGGGCTTAGGGGATGGAGAATTTCTCTACATAAACAAGAAGGCTTGGATTGGAAGTCTGCTAAAAAAAAAAAAAAAAAAATGTTACCGCTGACCGCAGGGTTGTAAATCCAGACTGGAAGGAGCAGAGCCACACTGCGAGCGAGTGAAGTGTGTGTGGCTGCAATGTTTGTGGGTTAGATGAGAAACAAGCGCTGAGCGAAACCGAGAAGGGGGGCGGGGGTGGGGGGGTGGCTGGTGTGATTTGTTTGGTGCGCGGAGCCAATAGCAATCCCAGCGCGCGCTGATATCCCGGGGCAGCGCCGCGGCCGGTCAGACGGAGCTCCGCGCCCGGGCTCGTCTGCGCGCCGCAGCCCTGCGCGCCCCGCGGAGCCGGCCCCCCGCGCCCCCAGCCCGCGCGCCCTGCGGAGCCGGCCCCCCGCGCCCCCAGCCCGCGCGCCCCGCGGAGCCGGCCCCCCGCGCCCCCAGCCCGCGCGCCCCGCGGAGCCGGCCCCCCGCGCCCCCAGCCCGCGCGCCCCGCACCGCGGCCGCGCCCCCCGGGCCCCGGAGACGGCAGAGGCAGAGCCGGCGCGCGGCCCGCGTGGACTGTACGGCGCGGCCGAGAGGGACCGGCGGAGGAGGCTTCCATCGCGTCCCCGCAGGTACGCAGCGCGTCGCCACGGACGTGGCCCGGGCTGGGTTTCTGGTTTCTGCCTTCGCGAGGCTCGAAAAAGTCATCGACAGCGCTGCTTCCAACGCGGGTCTAGAGCAGAAAGCCCCGAGCGTGACTCGCTTCGTCCCCCCTGGATGATCAGGGCCGTTAACGTGTGTTCGGGGGCCACGGGATTTATTCGCCTACGGAATTATCCGTGGGTGTGAAACAGGGACCCTCGAACTTGACCGGCCCCCTTTTCTCTCAAATGACATCAGGACCTGCGTGTTGTCACGCTGCCCGTTTCTGTGTCCTGGTGACTCCGTTAGAACTGTGACCTATAGCAACTCAAACACCGATTGTGAGAGAGCAGGCTCCGAACGTTCCCACCCGCCTGTCGGGTTAATGTCCTCCCCAAAGGAAGAGGCGCCGAGCGGACTTGAGCGTGGTCGGGATCTTTAAAGCGTGTGGCCAACGTGCGCTAAGCTCGCGAGTGAAATCTGTCTGTGTCGCTCTGCTGTGGTTGAAAGAAACAGAGAGAAGGGAGAGAGGGGTTTCCCAGTGTAATGGTCAGTGACCCTTCCTGTGTACCTGACTTATTTTTACACTGTCTTCTGAGTTGAAAATGCATTTGTATTCTGCACCCTCAGGTAGAATGAGTTTCAAGAGAAGTCGTGAATTGGAAATGTATTATAAATGTGATACTTGTAAGGAAATGCCCATTTTTGGTTTAATTTTATTTGATACTGAACTCGGTAGGCATCTGGCCATGTCTTTTCCGTTCTTTCTTCATTTTATTTTGAGACATGAGTTTTGTAAAAAAAAAAAAAAAAAATCTATTTCCTGGGATTTTCCCATGTTTGATTTCAAATTTTGAAGAAGGTTATATAACACTTTTTTTTCCTGTTGATTACTTGTGATTAAATTAACATTGCTTCATGAGTTCAGTCTTTCCCTTGGAAAAGCCAGTGGGGATTGAATGAAGCCTGAGTTAAAAGATGAGTCTTGCTCTGGGCGATCCTCAAATAACTGGCGTATAACCGCTCTGAATGCCTGGAAAACCAGCTTTTCCTGCAGTGAAGAACATATGCGGATTGGGACTCTAGTTCAGCAAGAGAATGTCACAGCAGCAGGTGCAGGAGAAAGACCTTATCTTACCCGCACTGTTCTCATTAGATTCTTGGTGGGACATATTCAAACCATGCGTTGGTAACTCACAATCAATTCCCCATTCTGTCATGGCTGGGCTTCAGGGCACTCCTTATCCAAGACTGTGCCTGCCCAAGACAGATAAGGAAGTTATAGAAAGGTATTTATTTTACATATCACAGTGGAGAATTTACATTGACCTGTTTTCTTTCTTTTATCAAATGAGCATGTTCCTTTGTCATTAAGGAAAATGCATGAGTGTAGCCATGAAAAATGTCCATATTTTTGCCCGTGGCCGAGTTTGAATGATTTAACAGGGTATTTTTGAAATCATGTCAGAGAATAAACACGGCAAATGAATATTTTATTTAGGGGAGCGCATTTTGATTTTATAGATGAGTATTTTTCTCTTTTTGTATCACAAAGGAAACTGATTGTCAAGAATTCGCCTATTTAAATAAATACTAATTAACTGACCCAACTGAATTCTATGCAGTTAAAAGGGTAGTTCTGTGTCACTATGAACATTTTTCAATCTATAAATATAATATCTGAAATAAATTGAGACCTGTTTCCCTCCTGCCATTCAAACTCTAAAGCGACTTTAGTCATGTTGGTGGCGACAAAGTAAATGTGAGACCGAATACATATACACACTTGGTCTGAACTAAGACACGTGATGGCATTTTGAAGATAAATGTAAGCAGTGCTTTGATTACTCATTGTTTTGTGCTATCATTCTTCATTGAAAGAAGTAATCAAGAGTTCATTCCATGTGCATTTTAGTATAGCCAGCCAGAGCTTACCCTATGCGTTTGGTAAAGTTTAAACAAGGTACATGCCTTTAAATCTCTTTAAAGTAAACACCTCTTCCTTAGCCCTCTTCTTCTAAAGCAAAGGAGTGGAATTAGGCTTCCAGTCTGGGCGCCGAGTTCTGATTGATATGGAGAGGCCTGGCCTGCCTAGGTCAAGGACAAACACGGAGAGGCTGTGGAGTCCCAGGCACACAGCAGATTAGACCAGCCACGTTTCTACCGCAGTGTTACTCTAGCAATCCCACGCCAGACTGCAAGCATTTCCTCAGTATCAGGGTCCTTTAAGTATTTAGGAGAAAGTAATGAATTATTGCAACCAAATGTGACAAGTATTGGGCTTAAAACAAGTCACACAACGGAAGAGCAAATAAGACAAATTGTTTCAAAGGGGAAAGTGTGTAATTATAAATTTGGCCTCTGGTGCCATCTATTCCTGTGTTTGCTTAGCTGTTTCTCTTCCTACAGCAGAGTTCTCCTTTATATGAATTGGACACACTGGCTAATAATGCATAGAATTAGTCTTGATCACAAGTCAGGCTAACGTATGGTCTTCCAGCCACTAATCTAAATACAGATACTTCCCATAGCCACCACTTCTAGTTGGGAAGATGTCTCTGGCCAGCGCATCCAGAGGACCTAGCTCATTTGGATCACAGATTTGCAGAGCAGGGTCCCAGAGCCTCATGGCAGTAAGATGATGAATAAGGAGAGGGTCAGAGCACCACAGTATGAGCGAAGGTGGCCTAATGATCGGCATCCTTGAATATGAAGCCAAGAGACAAAGGAATAATGAGTTTATTTCATCAAATAAGCTTCAAGTATGAAAGTTAGTGAGAGTTTCTGAGTGTCTCATGTGAACACATGCACCTTGCACACAGGTATGGGACGAACATCAACACATTCAATGACCTAACACTTCCGTACACACAGGCCAGGAGAGGGCAGCATACAGACTCTGAAAGGTGTTACCTCCTCTTGACCAGGGGGAGACTCCAATCTCCAAATAGCTGAACCAGACTCCCTAACTGTCCGCACCTTCCTCCTTTTAGAAAGCAGAGTCTTGGGCCTTACTTAACAAGGGAAACCACATGCAGAAATGTTTGGTTCTGGTTCTGCGTCCAGACTTGGTGCTGCCGGGCAAAACAAGGAAAGCAGCATAGTTCAGAGAGAACTTTTATTTCTTTGAATTCGCTTCACTCTTTGAAGCTCTTCAGTCAGTCTTTATCTTGACTCTGCCAGCAGATGAGTGGGAGAAAGGGACGTAGAATAAAAGAAAATAAAAATGGGGTTTCTTGAGTTGGTTCTCCAGGGGAAAGGCTTATGAGCTACTTCATCCAGAACTTAGCCTTTATATTAAGCATGTCTTTGAAGGCAGGTTCAAGGCCACAAGAATGCATTTTACACACTGGCAATCAGTAGTGTGTCTAGAATCCTGGCGAATTTGGTTTCAAAACAGAAGGGCGGGAATAGCTTCTCTGAGTGTTCCAGAGTTTAAGACCATGTGCTCAAAAATAAAAATTATGCATCTGCCTCTTAGAATCTCAGAGATGGCCAAACCTCCTCCATAGTACACCTGGTCCAGCCTTTTAAAAACACATGGCCCGTAAGCCTCGCAACTGTTGTTTCTTTCATGGATCAGCCATATTCTGGGAGCAAAATTTAAATGTGCGTAGGAGAGATAATCACTCTTAAAGTGCGCAGCCTGTAGCTGTCAGTGTCATTTCTGCACATTTCATCTTAATTTAGCTAGGTTGGTGATTGTTGTTTCAACACCTTTGTCTCTTTGCCATCTTTAGTTCAAATGCCACACAACTTGCTGCTAAATATGAAGGCCCTAGGACACAGCTCAGAGGGAGTTTTATTTTTTTTTAAATTTTTTAAAATGTTTTATTTATTTCTGAGAGAGAGAGAGGCAGCGTGCGCCGGGGAGGGTCAGAGAGAGAGGGAGATACAGAATCTGAAATAGGCTCCAGGCTCTGAGCTGTCAGCACAGACCCCAACGCGGGGCTCAAACCCACAAACTGTGAGATCATGACCTGAGCTGAAGTTGGATGCTTAACCAACTGAGCCCCCCAGCCGCCCCTCAGAGGGAGTTTTAAAACAAAGTCTGAGAGGCCCAGAAGAGAGCATTCTTGGTGAAAAGTTGAGGTTCCTCCTGGGAGAAAAGGAGGCAGAAGGAACATTGGGCTGGGGACAGGCACATGGGGTGAGAGGAGCCATGAGCTCTTGTCGAGAACGGGTAATTCTGAGGCTAATTTGGGGAAGTGAATCCTGGGACTTTCAGGGGCTGCCCGGCAGGGCTCAGCTTGTGGGTACGAATGAGGCCTTGGAGGCTCTGATCACTGCCTCTCTCTGGTGCCACTCTTCTCTGCTGGGAGGTATGGCGTCCTTGAATCAAAGCAAGAGGGTTTTCCAAGGACACAGTAAAGATTTCTTGGTGTCTGGGAAGAAAGGGAGGTCACTGTGTGTCCTCGCCACTCTCAGTCAGATTAGCCTCTGTAGCACTGCCCATATACTGTCTGGAACTCCGTAGCGCCCCAGGGCTGGGGGGGGCTTGGATGGAAGGGGAAGATTCATCCAAGGTCACGTAGAACCAAGACAATGCTGTAGTAGCAGGAGGTTAGCAACACGGAGGGAGAGGTAAATCTTAGAGGTTGAAAATCTCCACCGTGGCTTTTCAGCTTTTAATGTAGCTCTTCGAATCTCCTTTCAGTCAGAGAAACTCTGGGTTCCATCTCTTTTCTTTTTTCTTTTTATTTTTTTTTTTTTAGATTACTTTGCAGTAAAGGAATCCCATGGCTGAAGGAGAAATCTCTTTGAAGGCACTTACCTGTTTGAGAGGCAAAGCAGGGTAAGTACGACCATAGCCTCCTGGCAGATACAGTAACCCTCAGGAGAAGACATACTTGAGGGCATGTTACACTAAGAAAACATTTCTGAATTATGAATGCAAGGGAATTAGACACAAAGGAAATACATGACTTAATGGAAACATTCTCCCGGAATAGAGTTTTTGAAGGGTATGACGCCAAGAGCACAAATATTCGCAGACATGACTTTCATGTTATGGATTAGTAGCAGTTTCAAGCTAAAATTCTCCTCTCCTGTAATTTATTTAAACAGTGAGAGAGCGGAAAAACAGAACAACTGAGCAGGGGAACACTTGGCTAGCTCATGTGAAACGCTAAGCTAACTTGACTTTGTCTAGTACAAATACTGTCCCCATTAAAAATCACTCCATCTGGTTCTACCACCGTGATTCTAAAGGCCGGAGGAAGCTAATCTTATCACCTATGGGAAACTCGCCACCTCACTCTGCTTTTATGGCATTGCAACACAAACCCTGAGTAATGCATTATATTTTCTAATCACAGTTGTGGTGTTTGGGGAAAGTTGATAAATGTGTGATACTGCACTGAGAGTTCATAAAAATCCAGTAGCTCTATAATGAGATCTCATAGCCAACTGCTTTTTCTAGGGGTCTAAATCTCATCAAATTTTCAAGCTATCTTTAACTTTTCTTGATTAATCACTTTACAAGCTACGACTCATCTAACATTTCTCAGACGCTTGGAAGCTTCCAGGTTATACTAGACGTGTTCCTGCAAATTATGTAATTTAATCTTCACTACAACCTCAAGGGTTTATCTTCTGCAAGTTTTATTGATTAAGGCAGTTGATGATAACCACAGCGTTCGATAGCTAAGAACATGACCATTTATGTAAGCCTTCATTCAACAAGGAGCTGTTGAGCTTCTTGTTTCTATGGCAGTAACAACAGCGACAGTACTAGGATAGTCTGGGTATTGTTCCCAGCATGACGCTCTATATTTCCACATACAGTCTTGCGTTGAATTCCTGTGTGAGCCATTCCTCATACAGCTGAAAACAACAGCAAACCTCTTTCTAGAAGCACCAGCTCATCACTAAACGCTTAAAATCATGTATATGGAAATAATCTTGATTGACTGTGGCTCGATTTATGTCTGTCGTCATAGAAGTGTCTCCTTTGACAGACTATAAACAAATGAAAAATATCCATCCTCAAGCCTACTGTCTGAGAGAAAAATAGATAGGTGCCAATCTTAACCCTTTTGCTAAGGCTGTGCTCATGTCTCAGGTCCATGCCACGTAGCCTGCAGACAGCATGCCTCGTTGTTCCTCATTCAGTATTTGAAGCAATAGAAACGCTTCAAGTCTATCTATCCAAGACTCCAACGTGACAAATAATATGGAAAAAGTACTTCAGGTATCTCACTTCTATGAATTCAGAGAATGTAAACTTTGGAGAAAACAGACAACAACATTACTTTGTTTTAGGGAACCAAGTGGCATTAAGACTCTCTTGACCTGGAAGAGGGTTCTCTGGTTATTATTAAGACTTATTAAGCTGGGAAACTCAGGAGACCCGGGTTTGCACCTGTTCTGTTTTTCACACTGCAAGTGTGGCCTTAGGGACAACCCACAGTCTCTTGAGTCCACTCTTTAAAAGGAGAAAGCGGAAGTGGATTATCATATTTCATTCCAGCTCTGAGCATCAGTTCTACATGCTTCCTTCTGTGACGATAGCTGAACATTCCTTGCAGGATGATTGTTTGTTACATAGTTTACAGGCATCATATGACCTCTACCCAAATCCTAGTGTTCTTGTCCTTATCCCCATTTTACAGGTGAGATGACTAAAGTTTAGAGAGAGATTAAGAGCTTTCAAAAATGGACACAGCCAAGCAAACTGCAGAACTGGGTTTCAAAACCCCTGTTCTCCACCATTACTATAGTATGTTACACCTTCATTCACTTATTTATATTATGTGTGGAGAGGATACCATGTGGGAGGTGCTGTGCAAGGCTGTTGGGATAATCGTGAAGAGCTCAAACAAGTGGAGAAGACAAAGAATATCCTAGTAATTATCATGCCATTTGCATAGTATTACAATACGGGATGCCTTGAAAATCTGGTTATTATTTTGCCTTGTTAACAAAACCATTTGAATGACGATATAGGTCTACTGATTATTATCTTTCCTCTACATCTTTTGGGTATTTCTCCTCCAATAAACCATGGCTTTAGTGCTCCTTGTATCATTATTTTTGCCATGTGTTTACATTTCTGAATAAATTTTAGGTTCCCTTGTGGACAGAAGCCATTTCGTATCCATCTTTTTTTATTTCCCAGCACAGAATTAGTGCTTAATTCATTGTACCTCCATTGAGATCCAGTTGTATCTAGTTTAAAGCTAGGATCAGAGACTCCTGCTTATTATCTGTTGAAAGGTGAAAAGCTGTAAATACACACATCTAGCACAGGCCAGACAAACTACAAATTCAGTCATTCATCTTGGGGAAAAAACTTTTTTGTTTTTTGCTTTGTATTACTGATCCCTTGTGTTACATCTTTGTGTTTAAAATGATCATCTAGGTAAGAAAATGAAACTGTCATTAAAATTCACTTATTCCTGGGGCACCTGGGTGGCTCAGTCGGTTAAGCGTCTGACTTCAGCTCAGTCACGATCTCACGGTTCGTGGGTTCGAGCCCCGCATCGGGCTCTGTGCTGACAGCTCAGAGCCTGGAGCTGCTTCAGATTCTGTGTCTCCCTCTCTCTCTGCCCCTCCCCCACTGCTCTCACTCTGTCAATCTCTCTCTCTGAAAAATAAAAATACACATTAAAAAAAAATGCTTTTCAGTCAGTTACTCCTCTTTTCATAAAACATACTGCTTTGACTTTAAAATACCTAATAACCATTTTGACGGATTTTTCTCCCTGTGAGAGGCCGCCGATGTCCCTGCAAGCCCGTCCTTCGTTCCTTTGGGGGTTCATGGGCTGGTCGTAGGCCCTGGAAAGCTTGCTGACCTCCTGGTTTCAGTGCTTCAATTTGGAATTAACAAACTCTATCTCATGCAGACAAAGTGATAAGGTTACTGAAGAATATGGAAACAATGAATGACAGCTTCATTTAAGAGAAGCAGGAGAGTTCAAGGGGACTATTTTGATCTCTGTGGTTGCAAGAAACAGTTTTTTAAAAAATCTTTGTGAAAGAATTCTTTACTCTGGGGTAGTCTATGAGAATTCAGGGGAGTCTATGAATTTGAGTGGAAAAAAACTGCATCTGTGTTTCTACTGCCTTGTAATTGTGATTTCCCATTGCCTTTAGTTATGAGTGTGCGCAACAAACCATAGTAGTATTAACAGGACCGTCACTGTGTCACCAGTAGAAATCAGAGCTATTTTCATATCACGTTAGAGTTGATACAGATGTCTCAAAATATCACACATGTCACTACTTCAAAATTATGGTAATTATTATACCTATTTCTAGATCTTATTAGTAATGGGTTATAAAGAAGACCACATAAATCCATATCACAGTTTGTTTTAATATATATATATATATATATGTATGTACGTATATATGCACACACACACACATACATAGTTTTCTAAAGTATACATTTCTGAACTTAGAAACATTATCCTGAAAAGGAGATTCATCAGACCCAAAGGAAGCCCACGGGGGACAAAAAATGTAAGACAACTCACCCTATAGGATGATAAATTTGGCTTATTAGATGGCAAACTTTCTATCAGCTGAAGTTGCTCCAATTGGAATGGGCCGCCCTGTGAGCCAAGGAAGCTTGTGCTGGCAGAGGCGGTGAGGGGGGCCCTGGATGGAGTTCGGTTGAGGAAAGTCATACATCAGATACCGAGTTGGCCCTTGATGCTGCCACCTAACACTGAGGCTACATGGTCAAGACCAAAAGACCTAGAGAAGTCCATTGCTTTCCTCAATTCGGATTTGCAAGGGTTTGAGCCAGCCAGCTAGTGTAAGAAGAGAAGAGTCCTGAAAGTCGTACCTTTGCCACATATCTTTGTGTGTGTTTCTAGGCAAGTCTCAAACATCAGTAAGAACTTGTTGGATGGCTGAATTGGATGGCTGAAGGCCGCAGTGGCTGATCAGGTCTGGCTAGTGCCCTAAAGAGTCAGAGACTCTCTGCATGGCTTTCCCAGTCAGAGATAGCTCTAGGCTGCATTCTAATTGTCTTTTCCTGTATTTTCTCCCCAGCTGTCCTGTGAGATAGCTAAGGGGCCTTGCGTTTTCATCTTTACATCTCTAGTCCAAGATACTTCATGTTTGGCAGATGGATCAATGAATACCCCTGTAGGGGTCACTGTTGTTGCAGAACCAGGGGCTCCATTTTTAAAAAATAAATTCAGGAGGAAAATATGAGAAAGAATACTTGTGATTCTACTCAATATAAGTATCACTGTGAGATTATCTCATGGAGAACATAGTTCTGGACCACAAAGTACCCAAATAAGAGCCTCAAAAACGGATCCTGGATATGGCAGGATGAGCAACTTCTGTTCAACTCAATGGAAGTGTTGATAGCAAATGGCTTTCAGGATGGCTGGAGCCTTGGTGGCCTCTGGTAACTTCTAGGGAGGTAAAGCATTTTATTTGAGACTTGGTTAGGCTGAGGAGGAGAGTTCTCCTTAAGAGAGGATTCCAAGGTGTTCTGTAAATGTGTAGTTCATTTTTCTATTGTTACAGAATTTGGGAAGACAGTGCTTCGACTGAAAGGCAGAGTTAGGAGGGGGACAGGGAATGACTTACTAAGCATATACTATGCATTTTAGATATTTCAATACACAGTATTTCATTTTTTATAAAAACTTATGGAGATAAGTGCTATTGTCCACATTTTACTGAGAAAGAACTGAAGCTTCAGTAAATTCCTAGCTTTGTGAAGCCAGTCGGGGGCTAAGTAAACATTAAATTAAGAACTTAAGAACACCAAATAAAATTCACTGCCTTTCCACTACAACACAGCTCTTATATACTGCCTTTTTC